AGTATTATGATATACTATGAGGTTCCATAGTTACAATGCTTGCCATACACCTAGGGTTACTAATCTAGGGTTTGTTTTCACCTGCAATCACTGGTTTTATAGCGGTTTAGTTTCCTATCTACCATCAGTCTCCTTCCCACGGTAGCCATTTTTTTCCTAGAAAGAATAGTATATATCTAATATGAGCTCAGATTTTGCTTTCTTTTGTTACCTTTGCAGTAGATGCTGGCTCTGCCATGAGGGCAGTTTTACAGGTTCTAGGATAGAGGAAGGTATCAATGCGTCACCCTCCCTCTTCTTTTCTTTTGTCTTAGGCAGCAGGTGGTTTTCTTTTGGGATACTCGAGGGGCAATAAACTTTGTGGCTGAGGTATTTTAGCAGGAAGTCACAGAGCAGTAAAGAAATCTTTGAAAAAGGAAGTAACTGGCGGCAATTAATTGGAGAAAGCAGCTGAGTATGTGTTAGGTGGGGAAAGGCAGCTATAGACATAACCATGCCCTGGTGGACCTTGGTTTCCTGAGGCTCCGAGGCCAGCCTTCCCATAAAAGAAGGTCTCCTCTGACATTTCAACCCCATGGAGTTGAACTAGAGCTGGGGCAACATGGTCCGAATCAGGTCTTAGGTGACTCAGAAACTGGTAGAGAGCAGTAGGTAGATCTCACCTGAGTGTTAGATGGTGCAAGGAAGAGAACTGGGCAGAACATTACAATTCTTAGAATTGTTACACTACCTCAAAATAGGTAGCTCTTATGAGCCTTAGGTAGTTACAACTATAAACCCCATGTTTATCTTATCTGTCACTTACTGAAATCACTATGTGATGAGGCAGAAAAAGAGGTTATGACAGTGGGCCCAAGGGGGACTGCCCAGGTCTGCATCCCTCTCCAGGGATCACCCAGACTCAGCCCCTAGAAATAAATCTTCCTGTCGAAAATATCCTTAGAAAAAAGAGATGAGGCCCAACCAGAAAAATGTAGTTTTTGATGCCTGTGCAGACTGCTGGGGCTTGCCTCCAGCGTGAACTCCGGCCTC